AGAAAAACTAGCTCACCTTTGAAGACGCTCACGAAAAGGAACCAGGCACTATGTATGGAAGTTAAGGGTGGGTGACACGCATTGTCCTGAGATAAAACCTGTGAGTGATGGGTAGGAAGCGCTGGGTGCACCATGGGAAAGACACTTGTATTATGTGTGTCCCACTTGGGACTTGTGATTGCATGTTTGGGATTTCGAGCGTCCTGCCATTTGGAAGGAAAGGAAGGGTCTGCACCGGCCGGTGCGGGTGGCCAAACGTCGCTCCCTTTTGTAGACTGTCGTGGGTTCGTGTGTGGAGGTCAGGCCACCGAGCTGTCGGACGGGAGTTTGTCACGTCGGTTGATTAGTGGCATTCTCGTCTGTGCGGTGATGAGCCTTGACTCGATGATCTGCCGGGCGGGGTGTGAAATCTCCTCAGGCGGGGCTTAGCCTGTTGGCTGGCGGAGGGAGTACCACTACATGCGGGCACAGACGGAGCCTCGTGGACGATTAGTAGCTTCTTGTAGCATGGTTTGGGAAAGGTTGTTCCTTATCGGACCAGTGGAAGTGAATGCCTGGACGATTGGCTCTAACGGCCTACCGAGATGTGTAAGATGATTCCCGAGATTAACTGTGGGTACGCAAGCGGCAAGTCGGGATGGGGTATTCTGGGTACAAGGAAAGGGCTAACGCCTTGCCGGAGTCTGGGTACCGCGCTCACGACGGTTGAGTTGTGCGTGAGGTACGGGATAAAACTCTGCCGATAGTAACAGTGGAGAGACCGCTTTGGGAAAAAGGCCGGTGAGGAGATGACCGACCTATGTGCGACGTTTGCTTGAGTTTTCCTTTTGTGCCTTCCTCTGTAAAGTTTGTCTGATGTGTGTTGGGACGGGAACTGAGCTTCTAGTCTATTCTCGCCCCCGCCTAAGTTTGCACAAGTGAGCGAACATGAGGTTGAGGATGAATAGGAGTCGGAAGGAAAAGAAAACCAAGAGAAAGGAACACCGGTTGCTGGGGATCGATGGAGGGAACGGTTGGGTAGCGATCTCTGGGAAATGGGTAGGAAGGGTTAGAGAGACCCGGATGAGGGGGGGTCTGAAATCAACCCCCATCTAGGAAAGACGACAATCTGATCAAGAAGGGCCATGTGGTGCTCTCTTGTGAAAAACAGGACGGGAGCCGACAAACAAGATGGCGCGATGGTTGTCACCCCCTGTCTATTCTAGTGGTCCGAAAATACCAATAGACGTAAGGGAAGGGGTATCTGTTGTTCTCCCAGAGGAAGGGACATGGACGAACTTGGAACCAGCCTATGAAACCGTGATGCTGGATGAAAAGGACACGTTCCTCTGGATAGAGACGATTTGGACTAAGGTCAGCTTGACGAGACTCTCACCGAGTTTGATGGACCTAGAGTTCCGGGGGACAGTGGAAGCCCGGGGGTGGGTCTACCTATCCCAGGATCTGGAAAATGAAGTGGTAATAGGGTTGGTATTGGGCACAACACCGACAGAGCTGTTTAGACAAGCAGAGCGGGAGGTGGTATGGGCAGTATGTCAGCGGGCGGAAATGGAAATGGACAAGATAGATGTGCGAGTGGAACTCGGGGACAGGGGGGATATGAGGCGGCCCCTCAGGACGATGAGGTGTGTGCTGCCTCCGTTCTCGGTGGATGCAGTCTTCGGGACCAAGGATAGACTGGAGCGGATATGTCGGTCGATGACGTGCTTGAGGCTGTATCAGTGTGCTCGGCAGGATTTCTTTAGGCTGTCGGTGGAAGTGGGACCGTTCGAAGGGAACTGGGCAGAGGAACTAGCCGAGGTGCTAAACCTCCTTAGCGCGGATGAAATCTTCGTCTCTAGCCCGGTGCACTGACAGATAGTCTATCGGAATGTGGCAGTGGGAGAAACTTTCTTAAAGGGACTAAAGGAACTGTTCTCAGAAGGGGAGGAGGATTTCAGTGATAGTGAGGATGAGGACGGGAACGAGATAGAGGACTGGGACTTCTGAGAATGGGGGTGGGGACTTACCCGGGAATGGGCTGTCGGCTATGTGCAGGTAGGAGCGATGACCTGGGAATTCCGGTTATGGGACTGCACATGGGAACCAAAACGAGTCGGAAGGGGACTAGAGATGTCGGTACCAATGAGTGATGAATGGAAGGGGACCACATGTGATTGGCGGGGGTACGAGATCGTGCCGGAACTATCATACTTGTGGATAGAACGTGTCTGGAACCCGTTGAGGAAAGAGGAAGGTTGGGACGATATTGCGGAAGGGAAAGTGGAGTCCATGGGGACGGTCGTCTTGTCGGAACAAGGGTGACACCTGTTCTGCACCACGCTTGCGGCAGGGCAGGACCCGATGTGGGTTTTGGAGGGTGCCGAGACAAGGACACGAGAGGCGGGTGAAAGGTTCGCCAACAAGGGGTGGGATGAGGTCAGTAGTAGGGTCGTGATGGGGGGATGGAAGGAATTTAACCCGCCTTGCGCCCGGACCAAGACCTGGATGCCAGACTTTGTGGCAGACTGGTTTGGAGCTTGGACCACGTGGCGGAAGTGGTCAGCACTATGAAACGAGTGCACATAGACAACGCATGGATGACAGAATAATTTTATAGAACGTCTCAAAAATTTGGACCGTTCCATGGCGACAGAGCCCGAGAGGTCCTCATTATTTTGAACATTGAAAGAGATGACCGGCTGGAAGTAGCCCTGGAAATTAGGGACGCCATAATGCGCCGGGAAACAGAGGTGACGCCATGCTATATGGATGATGTGTTCAAACTGTTTGAGGTACTGTGGTTCGACTAAAAGAGCGGTAAGGCCGCGGGACCGGGCAAGTACAAGAGAATTGCTAAGATAAGGGGATGGGGCGTTTGGCCGGTGTAGGTTTCGGTGTGAACTGCGAAAGAGAAGACCAAGAAAAAGAGCGCAGATGGCGCGAAGAAGGACGTTTCTTGAGGACCGCCCTCTGAGCATTGAGCCGCCTAGCGAGGTACCGGGAGGAGTCGAGGTTAGTCTGCCAGCAGCGAGTGAGGGACGACACTTGGTGGTAGATTGGGTTGGGGTTGAATTCATGAAAAACTTGGTTTACTTAGTAACGAGGGTTGAATGGCGAGCGGATGAGAACGGGGAGTGGAACACGGACCCGCGGGGGCATGTGCGGGCGGAAGGACGATTGTATATGTCTGAGGATGGGTGGCGGGAGTTTGGAGTCCTGTTGGCGTCAGGGGAAGATGCGCTAGAAATGTTTGAAGGGGCATGACAGCTAGTGTGGCAGTCAGGGCTTGAGTTCGCAGATCCAGAGGTTGATGACGTAACAACAAACCTTAGGGTAACTATGGTCGGGAGTTTTGAGCTGCCTAATGAAAACATTCGAATGAGGCTGCCACCCTTCCTGTTGGAGAGATTGGGCGGGTTGGAACTTGTTAGGCAAGCGGTAACCGACCTTGCAAACCTCACATATGAAGATGCGATGGTACATCGAGAATACTATCGCGCCTTCTTAGAAATGGGGCCGTTTAGCGGGGAGCGGAGGTATGAGTTGTTACGCGTCCTGCTCGCGGTGTTTTGTCCCAGGCCAAGGGCTCCGGTCGTTAGCAGCGAAGTCCTGTGGGGTGTCGTCCGACGGGAAATAAGTCAAGGGATGGTGTACGTGGATGATCTGTACCGTTTGTATGAGCCAATGGAAGTAGGGACGGACCAGTAAGAAGAAGGGCTAAGGAAAAGGAAGGAAAAAAAGGTTCAAGCTAGAGACCGGGGAGTGTTCGAGCGGGAGTCGAAGACGAAAATGAAACAAGTAAATCCGCTGGCTGTTTAAACTGTGCAGGGAACCACTAAGTCAAAAATGGCGATGGGACGCGCCCGGATGTTGCGACGGTCCGTGCACCCGTGGCCACCTACGAAAAATGGAGGCGGATGGGAGGTATTGCTCCCAGCAAGTTACGTGATCCAAGGACTGGATACCGAATGGAGGGCCGTGACCTTGGGAAGGGGTCAGGCGTTCATGATGGTGGAATGTTTGTGGGACGGTATGAGGATCGACAGGGGACCGGGAGACGATCTGTACACCGACCTTAAGGTAATGGGGACCGTATACCTGCCAAAGATTGGATGGTACATGTTAGGAATGGAATTGGCACTAGGCCACGAGTTGCTACCAATATTCCAGAGGGCCACTAGGATGTTGAACAAGGTGGGTCAGAAAGTGCGGGGGAGAAGAAACGTGGGATTGAGAACCCGGGTGGAGGTCGGAGGCTAGCGAGAGTTTAAGGCCCCAATGACTGGGTTAAGGTGTCGAGTACCTCGCTTCATGGTGGACTCGGTATTCAACAACCTCAAGAAGGCTAGGATCTGGTGGATTAGACCTTGGTCTGGATCCACCACTTCCGACCACAAACAACGGGAATGTTTCACGACGTGTCGGTCAAGCATGGACCGTTCTGGGGAAACCAGTCTTGGGAGTTGCTTGACCTCATCGAAATCCTGATATTTGAATTGCCCCGCTTAGCATTTGAGGAATTCGAACCGATAATTGACAGGGAAATAGAAATGGGAGAAAACTATCTTGCGGGAGTGGCTGACCTGTTCGAGGAACCAGACGAGCAAGGCAGGCCTGAAGGACCAGCATGAGAAAACACGTTAGGGGACGATGGGGAAATAGAGGGCGGGTATTAAGATAAGCAGGCAGCCATCAGTGAATAGAGAGGACGGTGGTTGGAGTTCCGACCAACCTGGCGATGCAGCAGGAAGGGGAACCAGGAAAACCATCCGCACCGGGAACCCTGGGGCACCGGGATGTCGGAAAAGCCAAAAGGGCCATCCTCGATAAGGAAGCCGGTAGGCCCAGGCATCGCCCTAAGGGCCAAAGCACGGCAGTAACAAAATGCCAAACAACTGTGGCAAGTTCCCTGGCGGAAGAAAACCCGAAGGACGCCCTGGGAAATAAAAGTTAAGGGAAGTCGTACCGACTAATATAAGACGCAAAAAACACGGGAATAAGTGGATTTTAGGGTCGGGACTAGGGCAGTTATGAACAACCAGCCACTCTCGCAAAAAAAAAAAATTCATGTGCAGGCTAGGTAAAAGGAATGGCGACAGGAGAAGAGAGCGATGACCGGCAGAGCAGGGGGAGCCAGGGTACGAATGGGGACGAGGAACGAAACGAGGGATCTGTGAAGGATCGAGAGTTAGCCAAACCGAAAGGGACCCGAGAAAATGGGAAGGACCTTTCAACAGGAGAAAGTTCCGGGAAAGCTGGGGGTAGCAAAAGAAGACCTCAGAAAAACAGGGAAGGGGGAAACGATACGAAAACGAGCCCTCGGAACGCAGCAGGAGTCACCCCTAAGAAAACGAAAGTCTTGGATACCCGCCGCAAGCTGGCAGAGATAGAAAGGCAGACTGCAGAATTTAAGGCAAGACTTATTGAGCAGATGATGGCCGGGGATGGAGAGGATCCACAGGGTACAGGGTCACGAGAGGGACGCGGGACCGGTCAGGACGAGGCCAGGTATGAAGGGAAGGATAATAGTCATAGGGGAACGCCTAACAAGATGGGGAAGAACAAGGACGACCCCCCGGCGGAAGGGACGGAAAACGCTATGACTCTACCTGCCATCGACAGCGGCGCTAGCCGATTGCCCGCCACGCCGAAAGTAACAGGGGCAAGCGATGGACTCTGGAGCCTTAGGGAAAGGGTGCTAGGTTGGTTCGACCCAGAAGGAACGCCGAAAACCAGGGAGAAGCAGAGGGAAAGCAAGGGAGGGGAAGGGACTAGTGCAGCAGGAGAAGGGGGTAGCTCCGAAGATGACCTCAAGAGGATAGTCACCACCCTCACCCGGGCACTAAATAAAAATCAGGGGTATCTCGCAGACGCGAAGAAGAAACTCACGTTTGATGGGGCAAATATTACGGAGTTTCTGATAGATTATGAGAACCTGGCAGCCCTACTAAAATGGACGGAAGAGGAAAAGATGGATCACTTGGGGCAGCACGTGTCGCTGAGCCTAGGAAGGGATATCATGGCTATCGTCGCCGCTAGCGGATCTTGGAAAGAGACACGGAATGAGATGATGAGAAAGTACCTGAAGGCAGAGAAAATGGCAACAGAAGCTGAATTAGCAGCAGTTCAAAGGAAAAACTATGCGACTAACAACAATTTTCTGAGAGCATTTACGCTAGTGGCTCTGCGAATCCCCGGGGTAACGGACCGCATAATGAGTAAGTACTTCCTCAGGCAGTTCTCCGAGTTTGATAAGGACAAGATTCTGTCAGCATACCAGCAGACCAGCAAGTTCGAATACACGAGGGATGTGGATTTCAGCACTGTAACAGACCTTGCGGAAAAGACAGTGGTGACCGAAACACTAGCCCTGCTTAAGGAAGGGGAAGTCATAGACCTGATGGCAAGGACGGGAGATAAGGTCAAGAAGGGCATAGAAAGCTTGCACAAGAAGGTATATGAAGTTGACAATAAGATAGAAAGAGTGGAAAACGCACTATTAGTAATGCAGGCACAGGTGTCCAGACCCGCCCTCCCGCCCCAAGAAGCCGTGGTCTCGGCAGCGGTAGCAAATCGGGGTTTCCCCAGGAGAGGATAGGGTAAATATCACTACCCGACGGGGTGGTGCGGAAAAGAAAGAAGAAGAACCGTAGATAAGGTCACGACAACAAAGAAGAAAATCAGATACCAAATCCCGATCCTGGCCGGAGCAGAAGTTGATAGCTCCTTGAGCGAGCTCCTAGGCACCATGGTGTCGGTGTCTTTCCAAACTATGTTGCAGGCAAGCCCGAGACTGCTTAAGGGGCTCAGGCACTTGCTATCTCGCAGACGCGTAAAAGTAGACGAGGCTCCGGAACCTCAGGAACAGGAAGCCGAGGAGGCCGAGACGTCGCAAGAAGTCTCTAACCTCCAAAGCGTTCCTGAAAGACTGGAAGATCTGGAAAAAGTTTTTGTTGATATCCGTCTGAGCCTGCCGGACCGAGAAGGGGGCGAGGTCATGAGAGCACCACCCAACACTAAACTTAGCTTTCACGTGTTGCCTGTGGGAAAACTTAAAGTCCAGATCGGAACTCATCACACCGATGCACTAGTGGACGGCGGAGCAGAAATCACCCTCATACGACGGGACTTCGCAACTATCACAGGGTGCACAGTAAACAAGGAAGTAGCAGGGAGTATCAGGGGAGCCGGCGGAGAAATTCCCTTCACTGGGTATGTCACCAAATGCGCGGTCAGGGCAGGAATCCGAGAGTCCATCTAGTCTTTCCAACGGATGACCGTCATGGAAGAAATTAACCATGACATAATCCTTGGGAGACCATGGTGCGCCAACGTAGAAATGATTGGCATGCACCTGCATGACGGCTCATACATGATAGACATAGAGGACCCAGTGACTGGCCGCGGAGAACTCGTCCGAATCCTCGGAACTGGAGGGGATCCTCCAAAGGGCAAATTGGCCACCTGGTCACCCACGTTTGAAGAAAGTGCGCGAAAAGGGGCATTTGCATGATTGGAAGGTATGAGGGAAAGAGTAGAAATCATGATCGAGGAGGCCTTCAGCAAGAAAGAATGGATTAAAATGGGCCTGCCTCTGAAGAAAAGGAGACAGGAAGACGAGACCCTAGGGGTTATGGTCGCAAAAAAGGAGTCCGAAGTTGAGCTCGGGTCCAGTCTGCCCAAGCCGAAGGAAGGCCGGAAGGAAACGGCCGAAGTAGTCCTTGAAATCCCAGATTTGTTGCAACTAGTCAAGGCCATTAGGTATCACAAGGTTGGGGTAGACACGGCAGCACTTGCAAAATTCGAAGAGGAGATCCAGAAAGGCTACTGCCTCAATAGGAAGGTTGTCAGTCTTCAACCCCATGCCATGGAGGTGACAAGGCCAATTCCGACCGTTCATTTTTTAGGAGAACGATCCCAGAAGGAAGCATGCGAAAGTACAAACCCGTAGGCAAGAAGGCCAAGCCGGTCTCGATCCTGGTAGAAACGTCAAAGGAGGAGGCCATGGAAAAGGAAGAGGAGATCCTACGGGTTATAAGGGAGAGGCGAGCGACGGAAGGACATCGGATACCCGATGATGTGGCAGAAACTATGAAAATAGGAGTGGAAGGGTTCTTAACAGCAGAGGAAACTCAGTTGATAAGAAGGGTGTGCCAGGAGTTTCACTTAGCTTTTGATTTCAATGACCACCAGAAAGGGCGATTGGATGCAAAGCTAGCTCCTCCGGTCAGGATCCACACGGTAGAGCACGAATGCTGGAATGATAAAGGGTCTGCCTATGAGTTTGGGATAGCAGCGGAAGTCACTGATCTACTTAGGGTCAAGATAGATTCATTCGTAGCTGAACCCACCGCATCCCCTTACCCGAACAAGTGGTTCGTTTTCCGGAAGCCAAACAAGACGCTTAGGTGGATTCAGGACTTGTAGAAGCTCAATGCGGTAACAATTAGGGATGCAGGCTCGCTCCCACAGGCAGACTTGCTTGCCGAATCTCATGCTGGCCGAAGCATTTACTCCCTGATAGACCTGTACTCGAGATATGACCAGTTGCCGCTTGACGCGAGGGATAGACCATATACCGCAATGCACACCCCCGTAAGACAGCTGCAGATGCAGGTGACCCCTATGGGCTTCACAAAATGCGGTAGCAGAAGCACAGAGGAGGATGTTTGCCATCCTAGGGGATATGTTTCCGGAAAGTGCGAGCCTTATACAGATGATAACCCTATAAAAGGTGCACGGTACAAGGACGAGACGAAGGTTCAACCGGGTGTACGGAAGTTCGTTTGGGACCATTTGCAGGATATCAAGGACTTACTCCAGCGATTCCTAGTTTATAACATTACCGCAAGTGGACCAAAGAGCGACCTGGCCGTCCCGGAGGTGACCATACTGAGGTTTCGATGTGGGGCCTATGGGAGGAGACCCGATCCCGCGATGACTGGCAAGATCTCCCAATGACCATTACCCCTGCGCACCACGACGGAAGTACGAGCCTTCCTAGGGGTGGTCGGGTTTTGAAGGATCTTCATCAAAGGATTTGCAAAGATACCTGAGCCGATCCGTGCGATGATCAAGGAAGGAGGTACTATGGAATGGACCGAGGATAGGGAAGCGGCAACCCAGACCCTCAAAGATATCCTGGGTTCTGATCGAGTTACCTTAGCAGCACCCTACTTCAATGATGAAGTAGGACGACCCTTCATTCTAGAAACAGACGGGGGACCGTTAGCAGTAGGAGGTGTGATGATACAAAAGAGCGAGGAAGGCAAGGAAAGGCCAATCAGGTTTGAGTCCCTCATCACCTACCTCCATCCACCATAGCCGGACACCCAACCCATCTTCTACCTCCATCACCTACCTCCACCCACCATAGCCGGACACCCCAACCCTCCTTCAACCTCCATCACCTACCTCCATCCACCATAGCCGGACATCCCAACCTTCCTTCAATCTCCGTCGCCTACCTCC